AGGCAGGAGTCCATGCTGGGGTTGGCTTAGATTAGCAGGAGTTTTGATGAGGGGCATATGTGTGTTTGGGTTTGCCATGCCGGGCAAGGGAACAGTGGAATTTGTCTGAGTTGCACTCACACATTGAAGTTATTGAGTGACTTACACGCAAGGCCGTGACCTGGACTCCCAGCTGAGAGGCCCACGTGGCAGAGCTTGAGCCGGGGGAGCCGAGGACAGCTCACATCTGCTCATCTGCTTACGTAACCCAACTTCCCAGCTCCCAGAGCCAAGAAAACACACAAGCCAGCCCAGCAGGGTTGACGGCCTGTGGTAGCACACACGATGCGCCGCACAGCAAGGGCGCCTTGGCCTGGCCTGAGGACTGTCATGAAGCTCTCTGCCTCCTCCTGCAAAGCTTCTCCCTGTTGCCTGGGCAGTGGCTCTGAGACCTGGCAGCAGGTCTGCATGATTCCGAACAGAGCTGGTTGTTGACCTCCTGGAGTCTGAGCTCTCTGGATTTTCTCACTGGGACAGAGCCAGGTGTGCAGCAGAGGATGGTCCCTGCAGCATGGCAGAAGGTGTGCAGGCCACTCGGGGAGGTCTCCTGGCTAGCACTGGACCCAAGAAGGCATTCAACTCTGGGTCTGGGACTGCTGTGTGCTTTCTAGTCTCAGAGGAGTGAGCTGCAGGATTCTCAGAGTTGTGGAGGCTTTAGAGAGAGAAGGTGGGGAACGAATTGCTGGATTGGGGTCAGGGTGCTCTCAATGGTTTGGAGACCTGATGGGGCATTGTGAGAGGGAGCAGGAGGGTGAGAAGAGGCTGTTCAGTGATAAAGCTCTGCACAGAGCAGTTGAGGAGCAAGTTCCTTGGCCAGCCTTCAACCAGGCTAATTTTCATTTAGGTACTGCCACATCCTCAGCAGGGAGCTCCTGGAAGGCAGGAACTGTCTTGTGCATCCTCCTTCTCTATCTCAACCCACCCACCTTGAGGTGACACAAACTTGGCACACAGTAGGTGCCCAGAAAGTATTGATTGAAACAAATTGAAAGTGGTCTTTACACATATTACAGGGAGAATTTGCATTAAACAAACATTTCAGAATAAAGACTCTGGTTTGTTACCTGATAGACTCCCATAGATTGTCAGCATGCTGTTGACACCTGTGGGTGAGTGAGCGAGTGAATGTGCATACGTGTGTATGTTGGGGTGAGAGAAAGGAGGAGGAATAGAAGAGGGACCACCCAGGTATCAGCTCTCGTACTGGGTGGAGAGCAGTGTCAGTTGCTGAGGGAACCCTGGAGGAGAAGTGGGTTTGGCAGTAGGTGGTGATGGTGGAGGGGTTGAGTGAGAGCTCATTTGTGGCAGGTTGAGTTTAAGGTGTCTATGGCATATAGCTAGCCATGTCCTGTTGGCTGGGGGTTGTGAGAGAGATTTGGGATGGAGACAGAGGTTTGGGAACTGTCATGTACTTAAACCANATTGCTGAGGGAACCCTGGAGGAGAAGTGGGTTTGGCAGTAGGTGGTGATGGTGGAGGGGTTGAGTGAGAGTTCATTTGTGGCAGGTTGAGTTTAAGGTGTCTATGGCATATAGCTAGCCATGTCCTGTTGGCTGTGGGGTTGTGAGAGAGATTTGGGATGGAGACAGAGGTTTGGGAACTGTCATGTACTTAAACCAAAGACCTGGGTGAGAATGAGAAGGGAGAGTGAGAAGAGAGGGAGCAAAGATGGACATCAAGGAAAGAGGCTGAGAAAGCCTGGGTAGTGAGGTAGGAGGAGACGTAGGTCAGTGTGATGCTTGGTGATCAAGGCTACTTTCTGTCTCTCCCATCCAGGGCACTCATTTCTTCCTGTCTGTTTGGTCATTCATGCTCTCCCAGGGACAGGAAAGGTGAGATCAAGGATTTATCAGAAGATCTGGTTTTGAGTCCCTGTTCTCCTTCTGGTTTACCAAGTATCTCTGGGTATGTCAGGGCTTTCTGAGACCTTAGGGATCATCCAGTCCAGTGCTTGTAATTTACAAGTGGGGAAACCAGTATCCCGAGAGTGAGTAGTACTTGCCCCAAGATCATCCAGCAAGTCACTGGTAGAGCTGGACCAGGGCCCGGGCATCCCTTCTCTTGTCTGTGGCTTTTTAATCTCAGGACCACCTTTCTTAGCCCCCTGAGGGGGCAACACCAGGACACTTTCCAGCTCGCAGGGGTCTGCTCTGGGGAGGCTAGGCAGGCCATGGGTGATTCCTGGGCTGGTTTCCGAAGGTGTGAACAAGTTGGTAGGGTGATAGCCCAAATGCTTCTTGGGTTCCCGAAAATGGAGAGGGGGCAACACCAGGACACTTTCCAGCTCGCAGGGGTCTGCTCTGGGGAGGCTAGGCAGGCCATGGGTGATTCCTGGGCTGGTTTCCAAAGGTGTGAACAAGTTGGTAGGGTGATAGCCCAAATGCTTCTTGGGTTCCCGAAAATGGAGATGTGTTTAGTAGTATCTTCAGAAAGGTGGGTGTGGGAGGGTTGGAGATGTGTGGGGCCCTCTGAAGTGAGAAGAGCCCAGTGACAGATCTTCTTTTCCTGTTTTTCACAAGTTCATTGTGCAGCAGTGCCTCCCAGAGGGCTTTGCCCGGGGTTGGGGAGTTGAGTAGCCCAGGTTTGGTGGACCTTGTTGGGAAAGGTATAAGTGGTGAGAAGCCCTGAGGACCCTCCTTGTCTGAAAACCCCAGTGCTTGTGAAGGTGGGCCATCCAGCTCCCTATTGTCCCCTTGCCATCCCCTGGGCTCCCTGTTACTTATCCACTGAGGTTCTTCCCAAGATCTGCTGAGACAGACTTTAGGGGAGGGGCCTGAGATTCTATATTTGGATTAATTGTCTCAGGTGATTCTGATGAAAGGTTTGGGAAAAACTGGGCCAGGGTTAACACTGACTTAGCCCTGGAGCATGGTGCCTGCTCACCTGAGGGCAACCTGGGAGATTGGAACTGGGTAAGGGACTGTTCTGTGAGGCCGCTGTCCTGCCAGGGAGGAAGGTGCACGGCCAGGGAGGGAGCAGGGCTTTTGGAGCCCCAAGAATCCCCTTCCCTGCTCCAGGGGGCCTGCTGTCTCAGCTCTGTGGTCAGGAAGAGAACAAAAATTCTAGACTGAGGCTTTGACTTTGAGATTCTGGCCTGTGTGTCAATGCAAAAGTTTGCCTATTCAAAGAGAGAAGGAAAGGCATTTCCGGCAAAGGGCAAAGTGTGGAGATAGGCTTAGTTTCTAGGAATAGGGAGGGAGGTAGACAGAGCTGAGACCGAAGGGCCTTGTTGACTAGCTAAGGGGTTTGGCCTTACCTTGTACAAGGCCATACAGCCTTAGAGACGTTGGAGGCTTTTAGCTGGAAAGTGATATGATTACAGCTCTGTCTCAGAGGAAAATGAACTAATAGGAACGGGCCTTATGATGATGGAAGTGGGTCAGTGAGGGGGGAGGGAGGGTGTGAGGAGTGGAATGTACTGGGGAAGGGAGAGGAGGATGCAGCTGTCAGGCAGGAGAAGCAAGACTCACAGCTTCCTTTTCTCAGGCTGTTTCATTTCAGGAGGATGAGTGATCCCTGGGAACTAGGGGTGCTTGGGGAGCCACATATTATTGATAAACAGGGCAAGTCTGCACACAGGGCCCAGGGGTGGGGTGTTCACCAGTATGTTTCCGATGGACTTTGATCTGAGCTTGTGGCCATTGTTTCCATCTCTGTTGTGTAGGTTCCTTCCTTTGTTCTTATGTCTGGTCTGCTTCACAGGTGAAGCTGGTTACTCCAGAGTAACAGCTCCCAAAGTGACAAAATGGTTCTTTGGCCAAATACATTTGGGAAATGGTGGGTTAAGTAAAGTGAGGGGAGTTTCTTGACTACACAACTTTTCAGGGCCTTCGATGTGTGTCATTACTTTCCAAAGGCAGCATTCAGTATGCGGCGTTCCCACCCTTATTTGACATGTTTTTCCGTTGAGCATCTTGCTTGGTCTAATGTTTTGTGGAGCCCATTTCGAAGAAGTCTGAAGTGCAGGGAATACTGGGAGCCTGGGTTCGAGTCTTGGCTCTGTCCCTGGTTCCCTGTGTGTGTGCCTGACCTCACCAGGGGTGCCACATGCTCTGCATCTGGATCTTGACCTTTCCCCTTTCTCTCTACTCCTAACCTGCCACTACCTCAAAAACTACTGTCTGCATCTCATCAGTTTTTCTGCTGAGCCAAGAGCTCTCTTACTGACTGACTTCTCTCATCTGGATTCTTGTTCTTCCAGGCCAGAAACTTTGGCATCACCCCTGACTCTTCCTCCCTTCTCATCCCCTTAGTTACTTTATCCTCTACTGTGTATGCATTCTTCTTTGATGTTCTTTCCAGCTGTTTCTTTTCTTTCCCTCAGTCTCCTCTGGGGACTCATTGCCTGCATCCCTCCCCACTGAGTTTGGTTCACCTGTACATCAAGTCCCTTCCTGAGATATGGTCACTCACACCACTTCCTGCTGCCTTCTGATTTGAAGATAATTTCCTCCACGCTGACCTCTCCAGCACACGTGTGTGCACACACACCCCCATGCGCGCACACACATTTATACACACATACATCCCTTTTCCCAATTAGGCTAGGTTTAGAGAGATGATGTCAGTCATATGTCCAAGGCCACATAGCCAGGCACACTGATCCTTACAACAGCCTGTCAGGAAGTCTGAGCAGGAATTATTTCCATTTTACAGTGGCGTCTGAGAGGGGAGGGTCCTGGGCAGGTGAGTGCTTCAAAGGGTGACCAACTGTCTGGGTTTGTCCAGCGCTGAGGGGTTTCCTGGGACATAGGGATTTCCTGGGACATAAGACTTTTAGCACTGAGGGGTTTCCTGGGATGGTTGGTCATCCTAGTGCTGGGCACAAGTGCCCTTTCCATGGCCACACTGCCTCCCAGACGGAGATGTCTCCTCTGCACCTGCAGCCTAGCCATCTGATGCGGCCTGTGGAGCAGAGAGTCCTGTGGCCTGCTAACTTCTCCTTCCCTCCACCTCTGTAGTTGGCCCCATAACGATCGAATTTAACATACCTGTGGACCTGGAGCTTGTGGCGAAGCAGAACCCGCAGGTGAAGGTGGGCGGCCGATATACCCCCAAGGACTGTGTCTCTCCTCACAAGGTGGCCATCATTATTCCATTCCGCAACCGGCAGGAGCATCTCAGGTACTGGCTGTATTATTTGCACCCAATCCTGCAGCGCCAGCAGTTGGACTATGGCGTCTATGTTATCAACCAGGTGAGGTCTGGGAAGATGGAGTGAGGGAGGGAGTGTGTGTCTCTGCAAATGTGTACATAGTGAGGGGTGAGGGGATGGCAGTGATTTCATGGACACCTGGCATTTTACAGTGAGGAGCCAACCCTCCCCCCACCATCCTTATTTATTTATTTTTGTGGGGTGGCTGGCCAGTAACAGGGATTGAACCCTGGACCTTGGTGTTATCAGCACCATGCTCCAACCAACTAAGCTAACTGAGCTAACTGGCCAGTCCTATCCTTATTTTAAACAGTGCAGATAAGCTAAATTCCAAACAATGTGCTTGCTTGTTGCTATCAACTCTGTTAGCCAAGGGAAATTGCTGGTTTCTTTTTCCTATTCTTTTTTTTTAAGTAGCCTTCCAGCAAAATTGAGACAACCCTAATTATCCCAAAGTACAGCACTGATTATTTCCTGTCTTTGGGTAGCTGTGTATTTTCCTTTTAAAAAAACAAAATTACCATTTACATGTCAGACTTCTAGGCAACTTCAAAGTTTACCCAGTCAGCCTTATAACACTAAGGTCAAGAGTTCTGTTCCCTGTACCGTCCAGCCGCCAAAACAAAACAGAAAAAAACAAAGTTTACAGTCAGACTGTATCATCTGGGGCAGTTGCAGGAGACAGTGTGCTTAGTTCAGGCTGCATGCCCACATGCCAGCCCCTGATGAAATGTCTGGTGAAGTTTGATTGGTGGGTTGAGTGAGAGGCACATGGACTGAGCCAGGTCTGAGAAGAGTTTCTCACTGCGCGCGCACGTGTGTGTGTGTGTGTGTGTGTGTGTGTGTGTGTGTGTGTGTGTGTGTGTGTGTGTGTGTGTGTGTGTGTTGGGCTTTAGCCCTGCTTACGAAACTAATGCTAAAGATGTGTCAGCCTTCATCACCACTACCTGGATAATCAGATTGATCTAAGAGGCATTTTTATTGAAATAACTTTATTTTTAGTTTGTTTGAGGAGCATTATTATTTTTTCAAGAATATAACTTTGGCATTGCAGGTTTATCCCAAATACTTAAATTCATATCTTTAGACTGTAACCTCCAAGGTGCAGTGGCACATCTAACTTATCTATGTACTACATTTCACTAAAATTCATTTGAAGAGACAGAGTATGCCCATTTCTACAAGGCCCAATCAATGTCCATTTCATTTCAAGAAAAACTCTGGGTGTGTTTGAGGTAGTGAGATAGTTGTCAGTTTACAACTTCCATCAAAGTTTAGGGACTTTGTGTACCTTCCCTTGGACCGGGAGAGAAGCAGTCTGTCCCTCAAGCATTTCTGAGGGCTGCCGTGGCATAGTGCTGCATCACTTGCTGCAGGGAGATTCTAAAGAAGTATAAGGTCTCAGTCCTATGTGTCCTAAAGCTTTCAATCCACTTACGGCAAGAGGAACCCTCCCAGAGAACAATTTGTTAACAACCCCAAATAGCTTGTGATTGGATGG